CAATTCTGCAAACATTCCTCACGGTCCTCTTGGAAGCCCTCTGTGGTTGCTCTCCTTCTCATTGCTTTACTTTTACAGTCTGGCCTTTAACTGTTTTCCTTACTGAAGAGCATGTAGTATTTTTCTCTTGCATCAGAGTAAATTCTTTGAGGAAGGAACCATGTCTCATATTTTCTGGGTGTTTTTCCCACTTATTCCACAGTATTTACAAGCAAGTGAAGGCTCAGAGACAAGGAGGGCTTGCCACATTAAGGGGACAGGAAGGACAGTGGAGCTGCAATGGAATGAGGGGGACTGTGAAATGACACTCTGGGATGGATGCCCCAGGTGGGCTCGAGTCAGTGAGGGTATAGGATTTTAGTTTAAGAGAAGTAGGGAGTCATGGAGAGGTAGCAGTTAAATAAAGAAGTAACCCGTGGCCCAAGTTCATTCCAAAAGGCCTATGTGGCCATTGGGGTGGGGGTGGATTAGAAAGGGGCACAGCCAGGGAGCCAGCTGGGAGACTTTCAGAATCTTCCGTGGAAAAGATGGTGATGATTTAGACCTTGTTAACACTGGCAAGGACCCAGAGAAGTGGACAGATGATAAGTATGGGGCACTTTAAGGACTCAGTGCTCCCAGGACTTGGTGACTGATAGTTGTGGGGAGTGAGAAATCAGGAGGTGTCCAGAGGACTCCCGGGTTCTGCAGCTACCATTCTGCTCAGCATGAGCCTGGCTTCATTTCCTTATCCCCTGAGCATGTTTGCAGTGGGACCTTGATGCCAAGAGGGTCTCCTCCTCCCTACCCACCAGTCAAGCTAGCCACTGCTTCATCCCTCAAAGTGGGGTGTAGCCCTATCAAAGGTCAAAACAAACTCAACCACCAACACAGGCACCTTCTACTTGACCCCCACAGCAGTCCTGAGAAGGAGGCTGGGGAAACTGAGGCCCATAGGTAGGAAGTGGCTGGCTAAACCTCGGGGCCAGCCTCTAGCCGGGGTCCTCCAACTCCTGGTCAGAACTTCTTTTGAATACCTACTTCACAGGGTAGCTATTCAAAGAGAACGTGCGGGTCAGGCTGCAGCAATGTGGCCCTCTGTCCTCCAGAGGCCCGGAGCCACCTCATGGTGGATCCACATGCTCCTCATCTGGCAAATGTTCCCAGAGGACACCAGCCAGACAGTAGCCTGACAGGAGCTCCTCCGGCTCTTCATGCACACCTCCCAAGCTATGATGTGCAGGGAAATGGCATTTCAGTCCCCAACTGGCTGCTTTGCTTCTTAGATTGTTGACCTAATTCCTATTGGTGAAAGGTCAATTCTCTCTGTCCTCTCCTTTCTACTTTTTGGGAGAATGGAACTGGAAAGGAAGAACTTCTACCCCTTTCTCTAGGGAGACGCTGAATACTTGGCTTCTGTTAAGCAGAGATATCCATGGAGCTTTGGATAAACCACAGTTGTCCATGAAGTGAGCAGGGGATGGAGGTCTACTTTGTTCTAATGATAGAATGTTGGGGATTGTGGCCTCCAGGTCTCTACACAGTCTGGCCCCTGCCAAACTCTTCATCCTCAACTAGGGTTGTTTTTCTCTTTGGCCTCTGTCTGCAGCCACATAGGTTTCCTGTGAGTTAGTAGAAAGCACGTTGCCACAGGGCCTTTGCATGGCAGTTCTCTTGGGCAAGGCCCTTTCTGTTTAACCACACCACAATCTCACCTAAGGAACTCATAATCACCTGCCTTGGTCTGGCCCCTAGCTACATCTTTCTGCCACCTTCAGGATGCTCTCACAGATTGGTTATCCTCTCCCCTTTTTGCACACCTATCCCAGCTATAATTCTATATTCAGATTTCTAATACTTTAACTTGACAGCAGTTTATAAATTCAGTGCATATTTGTTCGTTCGTGTAATAAAAAAAAGTGATGGGGATCAAATTTTTGAAGGCAGAGGGGCTCAGAAAATGAAGAAGCTGAAATGTGTGACTATTGTCTTGAAGTGTGGAGTGATCAATGAAAGAGAAGAACCTGAGAAGAGAGGTGGCCAGGGGCCAGGGCTGGGGGACTTGTAAGGACCGGGATATCCGCTCTTGCTCTTTCTGCCCTTATCTTTGCTACCATGCAACCCTCGCTCTGTCTCCTTGAGCCACGTAACATGAGCTGTACTCTGAATATTAGGTTGGCACCAGGTCACCTGGATTGGCACTGAGCAGAGAGGAAAGACAAACAGGGGAGACAAGAGTATGGGTGCATTGGGAGCAGAAAATTAGAGATGGAAGTGACCAGGACTTTGTGAGTTACTGGAATTTGAAGAAGTCTTGGGGACATCATCGGATTTTCCCAAGATATGAAATAGGAAATTCCAGTCAACTGTTATCTAAATCTCAAAGGCCTAGGAATCTGGGCTCTAAACACAAAGAATGCTATGACTGATTAGCAATGTCTGTCACGGGCAGTGACAGTTCATAAGCCAGCCTCATTCAGCAGCTCCCAGGTCTGCAGTTCGGCTTAGCGTTTTCTTAGCTGGAGGGTAAAGACTGTGTCTTAGTCATCTTTCATATCGGTGCCATCAATAGTGAGCTGGGGGGCATGGGATGGAGGGAGCTGGCAGGGGTACAGAGAAGAACCAGCAGCAGGTCAGAACCTCAACCAAGCAGCACCCAGCATGTGACTCCAAGTCTTAAGACTCTGTTCAATCCCCTGTGAGCTGGGGCAAACTGTCTGACTACTCTGGGCGTCCATTTCTTCACCTGAGAAACAGGCCAAGAGTACCAGGGGCAAGTATGAGCTTTGAGGTCAGACACTAAGGGTCCAAATCTTGGTTCCTAGTCCATTTAGCACCTGAAAGGCTCTCAGTGTTCTTTAAAAAAGCGGATGGTAATCTTCACTTCACAGGGCAGTGCCCTGGGATTAGAAATTGTACACACCACCACTGGCCAAGTATTTGCTTTAAGCTGGACACCTATCCGGGCATCTCTTGGGCAGGACTGTTGAGGGCCACAGCCGAGTCGGGATGATGCATGGCATTTTTGCCAGAAGTAGTGGTTGAGAGGTGACGCCAGGGAGCCATTAAGATGATGACTTTTGAGTTCTCGCGGAGTTCCCGTTGAGTTCCGGTTGAGCTCTCGCGGGGATTCCTGAAGAGTTCGCTTTGGTTAGTCTCTCTGGAATCCAAATCGGCTGCTGTTCTCCCTGTGGAAACACACAAACAGAACCCAGACTCCAGACAATCACTGGGTCAGGACCTTTCCATTGTCCTGTTAGACTATCCTTCCAAAGTACCTTGGGCTTATGTACATTTTTTGGACACATATGCCTTTCCGCAACACTGAGCCCTGATGAATCCAAATTTAAAAAGTTTAGAGTAAAAAGGGTTATTTTAAGTTTATCTTTGGGGGATATATACCCCTTCCCACAGGACCTGGCCCCAAGTAGGCAGGGTGCAGTGTCCAAGGCATGGCCATGCTCAGCAAGTGGTAGTTAACTCCCTTGTCCTGTGGGATCGGAGGAGTTCTTGGGTACAGAAGGGCTGCATCAGCCGCAGGTCACCTCTAGAAAGCAAGGCTGATGACAGTAACTATTTACAGCCCTCCCTTCCCAGCTGGGGAAGGTGATGTCCTCCTGGAGTGGCCCTCACCATAGATCTGTACCCAGCTCTCTTTTATGACTGGCCTGGAGGCTGCCAGAGGAAAAGGGCAGATGGGCCATAATGAAAGAGCAGACAATTACTTTCCCTTTTAATTACCATTTGCTGTAATTAAATAATAATAACCTTTTGTAGGCCCTGAGAACTCAAAACAGCCCATTCATAACATCTGGTTCCCCTCCCTTCTGCCAGGAATGGAATGCCCACAGGAACAGGGAAATTGAGGCAGAGAGGAATAAGGCCAGTTGCCCTTAGTCATATGCAAAGCAGATTGCCAGAGTTCGGGAAAGGTCCTTAAAGAAATGACTCCAAGTGCCCGACAACTGAGGGCCTCGGCTAGCTCCACCGCTCACAGGAATTGGCTTGGTTGGTTCACTCCTCTCTCTAGACCTCAGTTTCCCCATATATAAAATAAGATGGAGCCCACCTGACCCGCCATAAGCCTATCATGCTTGGCTCTATTCTGTTCATATGAAATCATGGGCCATCCTTTTTGCACACTCTGGGTTGCAAGAGGTAGTAATCTATCTAAGGCTGGCAAGCAAGCAGAAAAAGAGGGTTACTCACTCATAGAACCCAACAAGGGTTGACAACATGCTTGAATAATCAATCTGTTAAAAAAAAAACAAAAAAAACACAGAGGTCTCAGTGCTACAGTTTGGATCTGAATGTCCCCCAACAGCATATGTGCTAAAGGGTTGGTCCCCAGCCTGGCATTATGGGGAGGTGGTGAAAACCTTTAAAAGGGGGTAGGTCTTAGCAGGAGCTCTTCCAGTCATTGGGGATAATGGGGCTCCAGCCTTCCTCTGTCTGTCTTTTCATATCCCAGCCATGAATCAAACCAGGGACAAGAGCACCGCTGCCTCCCTCAGATAGCAACTATATTCTTCCTCCAGACGGTGAGAAAAATGGACACCAACATCTTCCCCAACCTGCAGTTCAAAGATTCAGCCTCCTAAGGGCATCTGTCCCTATTGTCCCAGCCTGAGTCAGGTGACCACCCTTGGACTAATCAAATGCAACCAGTAGACCAGCATCTATGATGTCCCAAGGCCACCTTTAGGGATGAAGTTAGAGAAGGGGTCAGGCCTAAAGGAAAGGGGGCCACTGAGCAAGCATCATAATTGGTGTGTATTCACCAGAACAAAGTTCCTGAGTTTGGCCTACACAACATTGGAGGGAAAGTGACATTAAGCCAGAGTGACAGCACAAATCGCCAGGAATGCAGAAATGCTGGAGGCTCCCCCCGGGGGAGGAGAAGAGAGCTGTACCATTCAAGGCAGGCTTGACTTCAGACCCCAGCCCTGGGGTATCCATTCCTATCTGAGCATCCCCTTTGCATGCTACAGCAATGTGGAAAAAAACTGTCCCCAGGTTTCTCCACTGCCGGGTGACATGCTTCATCAATGGATGTGGATATTACATGGGACTCCAGGGATCACATAATCTAAGCCAGGTCAGTCACAACCCTTCTCTGGTCTTTCCTTGGGAGATATCTAAGGTCATTGCCCCATAAGAAGCCAACTAAGCAAATAGAAGTCTATGTCAAAAGGGGCAATGTCCACTGTCTGATCCCAGCCACCCCAGAGTTCAGCCCAACTGCAGGCCCTTTCCCTTGGTTTGGCGACAGTGTGCCAGGCCAATTCCCCTTTGGGCAGGTATATTTGCTTCCGACAGCTATCATAATGAATTGCCACAATCTTGGTGGCTTAAAATAACAGGGATTTATTCTCTCACAGCTCTGGAAATCAGAAGTCTAAATTCAAGGTATCCACAGGGTCCTCCTGCTCCTTCTTGGGGTCCTAGGGGAGACTCCTTCCTTTGCCCTATCCAGATGCTGATGGGTACATAACCCTGATCATTGCCTCCATGTTCATGTGGCCTTTTCCTCCTCCTTTGACTTTCAGTGACACTTGGCATTGGATTTGAGGGCCACCTGGGTAATCCAGATTGATCTCATCTCAAGATCCTTAACTTCATTACATCTGCAAAGATCCTTTTACCAAATAAGCTCACATTTACTTATCCCTTTTTTTTTTTTTTAATTTTTTACTTAACCCACTCTAGCAAGTCTATGTTCCTCAAAACCAAAATAAACGCAGTGGCTCAGTGTCAGTACTACTAAGTCCAGGTAAACTCGTTTGTGTTTTTGATTTTGCAGGGTTTTTGTTATGTTTGTTGTTTTGTTTGGGGGTGATGTTTCATTTTGAAATAATTGCAAATTTTAAAAAAAGATGCAAGAATAGCACAAGCAATCTTGAAAAATCTTTTACCCAGATTCACAATGGTTGATATTTTACCTCATTCACTCTGTTATTCTCTCCAGCTCTACCTAGATATATGTTTCTCTCTCTCTCTCTCTCTCTCTCACACACACACACACACACATATACACATCACTCACATGAAAGCATCATGCCTCTTTTCCGCAAAATATTTCAGAGTGTGTTTCCTAAGAACAATAAATTTTTAAAAAATTTAAAATTTTTAAAAAAATTTATTATTTTTTTAAGTTGTAGGTAGACACAATACATTTATTTTATTTATTTATATGTGGTGCTGAGAATCAAACCCAGGGCCTCACACATGCTAGGCAAGTACTCTACCACTGATCCACAACCCCATCTCAGAACAACAGTATTATCTTAAATAAAAATACAATCACAAAAAACAGGAAATTAATATTGCACAATTCTGTTGTCTAATCCACAGTCCTTGTTTGAATATTGTCAATTGTTTCAATAATGTCCTCTATAACTACTTTTCTCAGTCCAGAATCTAAACAAAGACAGCACATTGCATTTAATTGTGATCTCTCTTTAGTGTCCTGTAATCTGAAACAATTCCGGAGCCTTTCTCTATCTCTCTTCACCTTGACATTTTTGAAGATTCCATGAGCCAGTTATTTTGTAAAATGTCATTCACTTTGGGTTTGTCTGATATTTCCTTATGATTAGAATCAGATTATACATTTTGGGTAGAAATACCACTGAGGGTTGTACACTTTTCAGTGGATCTTCCAGAACATACCAAACGCAGAACAAAACTTTTTTTTTTTTTTTATGAACGCTCCCTCTCCCAGATGAAACAGTTATTTTCAGAAATAATCACAAAGATGATATGAATAATAACAGCCATAAAAGAAACACAGATGTGCCAGTAACAATATAAGAAAATTAAAGATTTTTAAATCTTATAAGACAAAAAGGAAAAAATAATGGGCTAATGATTTTTAATTACATTCGTATAGTTTTAAAAGAAGGGTGGAAATGTAGACCTACACATTTGTCCGTCCTAGAGAGACAGAATCACTTTACAGTTACTATTTTTGTGACTTCTAAAAATTTCTCATGACTTCATCAAAATTCATCTTCCTATGTTCATATTTAATAAAAGTGTAGCCAGATTTATAAATCTATCTTCATTCAGTTGATAAAAATACATTTTATTAATTTTAATTTAGAAAAGTTTCTTTCTCGTGAATCAACAGATATACAAATAGTTAGGAAAAGTCTTAAACACAGGGGTGAGTCTGTAAGGGACTCACAAAAATCCTCCTTCATACTATTATCTTTTTTTTTTTTTTTTTTTGGTACTGGTGATTAAACCCAAGGTGCTATACCCTGAGCCACATCCCAGTCCTTTTTTATTTTTATTTTTTAATTATTTTTTTTAATATTTATTTTTTAGTTGCAGATGGACACAACACAATGCCTTTATTTTTATGTGGTGCTGAGGATCGAACCGGGTCCCGCCCGTGCTAGGCGAGCGCTCTACCGCTGAGCCACAATCCCAGCCCTTATTTTTATTTTTATTATTATTTTGAGACAGGGTTTCACTAAATTGCTGAGATTGGCCTCCAACTTGTCATCCTACTGCCTCAGCCTCCCAAGTCACTGGGATTACAGGCATATGCCACCACATCCGGATATTATTATTATTTTGGATGGTGCTGGGGCCTTATACATGCTAAACACGCATTCTACCAACTGGGTTACATTTCCCACCCTCTTTCATAATAAATGCAAGAATTTGCAGTGATGCGCATGACTTCATTTCTTTGGGGCTGATACTGATTGAAACATTTGCAGTCAAAAATTTTCCATTAAAATATATCCACCAGCAAACTCAACTATTTCTATTGTATTTGGATTAAAAAATAACATCTAATGGTTTTCCCTTTTTGTAAAAACAGACAAAATGGCTAAACATTGGCATTATTTGGTTGTCTTTGAAGAATATCCAATTCTTGATGAGGATGATTATGGCATTCAGATTTTTCCCTTTTATGTCTTCTGGCAGCACAAGACTAGCATTTTCTGTTGTTTCTCCAACTCTCTTCTTTGGGGTTTGATTATTTTTCCTAGGTAAATGTTCATTTCCTTACACTTTGCAGTTGCGCAGTTACTGAACTTCCTGATTTCTGTATGTCAACCTTCTTTAAAGGAGCAATCTTAAAGCTTGATATTTTCCTGTACAGCAAGCAGGGCTGACTCTGGCTGTTTCCAAATATTTCTGTATCTGATTGACCTCACCTGAAACATCACACTTGAAAAAAAGCAACTCAGTGGGGGAAAAAATTATCGCGTAGAGCAGAGAGCAAAATCTGAACGGATCTCTCTACTGATCACACAGCACTTCAAACGTTGAGGTTAACTTTGCAAATGCCATCTCTACTGCATGCACAGCTTCGTGTGGAGACAACGTTTCATCTGCAAAAAGAAGTCTTTTCACTCTTACACACCTTTATTCTGCAGCATTTCCCATCAGTGAAGCAAGACTGAAAAGGAGTACATTTTCCCCAAGTTCCAAAAAGTGTCACATGTGGGAGGAAATCTCCAGGTAGCCACACGGAATGTCAGAATTAAACTAACTCAAGTAGAGTGTCTTTGCCATCATTCTGCCACCAGAGATGATTTTGAGTCTGCTCTTTAAACACAGAGCTATGTAACACAACAGGGCGCCAAAGTCAGCTTGACCCATAAGAACCAAAATGAAATTACTCTCAAAACAGATAGGTTTTGCAGATTCCACATGTACCACAGCCAACTGTATACTTGGGTTTCAACATGGATTGTGAGAAGACAGTTCGTGGAACCTCTCCCTTGGTTCTGACTGTGTGACTCTATCTTCATGGCTGTGCTGATTGGCTAAAGAGTACGCCTGGAACGGAATTTGGCCAATCACAGCACTTCACTGTCCTTGAGTTAGCTTTCCACACTTCTGGAAACTGGAAGTCCAAGATCGAAGTGACAGCAGGGTTGGAGTCTGTTTTTTTTTTTTTTTTTTTAATTAAGGGATTTTAAAGATCAGGAATATATCATAAAAAAAAACAGAAGGCTACCATAGTGAAGATTTTTGGTCTTGGGATGCTATGATTTGAAAGCCCTCTCTAAAACTTGTTGTAATTTAATTGCCATCGCAAGAGTATTAATAGATGGGAAATTTGACAGATGATTAGGCTGTGATGGCTCCACCCTCATGGGGGGTACTGGAGCTGTAAGAGTTCAATCCCCTGCCGGGTATGGTGGTGACCATCTATAATACCAGTGGCTCAGGAGGATCTCGAGTTCAAAGCCAGCCTCAGCAAAGCCAGGCACTAAGCAACTCAGTCAGACCCTTGTCTCTAAATAAAAAATACAAAATAGGATTGGGGATGTAGCTCAGTGGTCAAGTGCTATTCTGGTAAGCCCTCCCTGAGATAAAAGAGTTCCGCCCCCTCTCTCCATCTCACCTCCTAACATGTTACAAGAAGGCAAAAAGGCCCTGGCATGTCTTAAGGAGCTGGTACCAGCTCTTTTTAAATAAACAAAATAAAAATCTAAACCAGACTAAACTAAAAGAAAATATCAGAGTATATCACACCTAGTAAGGACATTGTTTTGTGGACTTTCGTTTTATATTTATGTGGGTACTGGTCATGATAGAAGATATCTTTCTTACTGTGGGCTGCAGTCACTGCCCTAATTCCCTGGCTCCTCCCTACGACCCAAGGAAGGAGGTTTTATTTTAAGCTCCATCCTATAGGGAAGTGGAAGCAGCCAGGGTGACCTCACTGGCTGTGGCCTGCACAGCTAGAAAGTGGCCCAGTCAGCGTTTGCATCTCTACAATCTGTCTTCCCAGTCCCACTCTAAGATTTGTCCTAATGTCCTCTGATGCATCAGACCCTTCCCTTTGGGCTTCAGCTCCTTCAGGGGGCTTTTTGTTGTTGTGCAAACCCAACATTCCTGATAGCAGAGAGGAAAGAGTCTGGACCAGGCTGGCCAAACTTTAGTCAGACTCCTGAATCTCCTCCTGGGCCCATCTGTGCATTTCCTTGTAAATCCAGTTTCACAAGAACCCTGCTAAATCCGTTAAGCAAGAATTCCCTATCCTTGATATTTGATTAGTTCCCCATCCTCCACCCCTCCCCGCCAAGTATGTCTGATCACTATGGTCTGCCTTCAGCAAGAATCCTATTAGGTGGTTTTAGCCAGAATAACTCTACACTTGATGTTTCCACTGGGTAGTTTTCCATTCTCTGATCCCCACCCTACTCCTTGGCTATAAATTCCCACTTAGCCCTGCTATATTTGGAATTGAGTCCAATCTCTCTTCCCCACTACAAAATCCCATCGCATGGTCCCTATACCTATAGTGATGGTCCTGAATCAAGTCTGCTTTAGCGTTCAGCAGGCACCGTGGAATCATTTTCTTCTTTAGCAAGGTGCTGGATATGGAGAGAGGAGGCCAAATCCTGGTGAGCCTCCTAGAGCCTTCCGGAGATCTTCTAGGAGACATCTCACCTTCCAAATCTTTGTTTTCTCCTCCGAGAAAGTGAAGAAGGCAATAACATCTTTCTCAGAGGCTTTTGCAAGAAAGATGGGAGACAATCTAGGGAAGTAACAGTTCTGTCTCTGGCCCTGAGTACCTGGGAGGTGGGGTGGGGTGGGGTGGGACAGAGGCTGCTCTTGCTAAGGTGCAGAGGAAGCACTAGGCAGGGCAAGGAGAAACCAGCCAGCCAGGATTGAGGGTGGACAAACAGACTAGGAATGTGGATGGGGCCCAACAACTATGGAAAGTCACAAGAGGTTCCAGAAGGGTAAAAGGGAAGTTCCTCAGTGTCCTAAGGTATAGACAGTCATTTCCTGTGAAT